TTAAAGGTCACGTTTCGCGGCTGCAAAGTAGAAGAGCGAATTTCCGCACAATATCTTCGTCCTTTAGTTGGAAAACGGATATCTTATCTACACTAACTGACGCAAATTGGCAAACGCCAACCAAGGATTCTGAATATGTGTTGAGATTTCGTTGGACATTAACCCACCAGGGCTGATGACGCTTTCAATATAATTGAAGTTATCAATGTATTCAACTACTGCGCTCCCTACTGCTGGCTCTTGTATATAACTTATTAGAATCACGATTATTTATTATTTATTTGAACATAAATATTGGTACAAAGGGGCACCGAATACATACACCACACAAGCCACTTGATTTGTGTGTGGGCTGTGATACTGCCCGGGTGCCCAAACCGAAGCGAGTGATTTTCTTAGGGGGGCCACACCCGGAGCCTTCGACCTAAAAAATCTGATCCACAAGGCAACGGACCAACGTAAGGAGATGCAGTTCCATGGTAGCCGGTGACCAATAATTGGTTCATACGCAATTTGTTTGCTCGGGATCCTGGAGGCCATGTGTATCATTGGTTTGGAATCAGGGTTTTCCAACTTCCCTAGGTGGATCCTCCATATCCACCAACCCAGTTAGAGCGCCGGGCATTCGCTTTTCGTCCTTTAAATTTCGTAGGCAACAACCCCGTCGTAAGAAGGCAGTGTGCAGAACTTCCCTGACAGTGGCTTTAAGCGCGTGGCCACGTGATAGGATTTCGAGAGGGAGAGCAGACTCTCCCCACCTTTGACCGTACCGGGGCAATTACAACTTTTCCGAGTTGTAGCTATCAATAAGTTTGTTCATTAACATCTTGAAGGCCCCATTTACAGACACATCAGGCAGAGCGAGGGCCTATAACCACCTCTTTCCATTGCTTCATTTAAACAGTGAGGTGCCCAATTTTACCATCCCTCTTCAACTTTGTCATTAATGGCATTCTGGAAACAGCTCTGATGGATGCAAGTAATGGCGGTGTGGGTCTGTTGCCTGGCGAAAAACTTTTCGGCTTCGAGTATACGGATGATATTGTCTTACTCTGAGACGATATCCAAGCCATGCAATGCACCTTCTGAGTGCAAAGTACTATTAGAAGACTGGCAGAAGTTTGTCCCTTCACTCACTGTTGTTGGTGAGCAGATAGAATTAGTGTAGAAGTTGGTGTGTCTGTGTATCTGTGTAAATGCTGGTGGTGGCGTGAGTAGTAAGACCAATTCACGTATAATAAAAGTTCGTTTGTGTTATTTCGACGTGTGCAGTCTTTGGAGCTTTTGTGTTGTTATCCTGGGTGTAAAGGGTTGGATCTACGACACGTGGATTAGAGCAGTTGTGCTATGTGCTTTCTAATCCTAAACTGACCGAGTTGAGGATGTTAAGTGACTCTCTATGTTTGATCATCGTTGTCTGGGAAGTATTTGTGACATTCAGTGGCAACACGATTTCATTAATGTTAGAGGTTCTGGAACGTGTGTTCAGACACAATGAGGATAATGCAATTGGTTTGAACATATTGGAACGCTGTCTTGGTTTGCTTAGATATTTAATACGAGTGTCATGCCAATGAATTTCCCATGGTGGATTATTTGCGGACACAGGGAGTTGTTAGAAAAATCAGAGAGGTGGTCAGTGTATGACATGGTGTCGTGGTATCGAAGAAAGTTGCAGAGAAATTACATTTGTCTTTCACGACCAGCTGATTGGGATCCTAGAAATGGTGCGACTCAGTGTCTTGAGAAGTTATCAGATATGGGTTAGAATAGAACCAGTGTTGGTCCTGCTTTAACATTATTTTGTTTTCTGCGTAAAAGTGAGGATTACTTCTTTATCTGAATTGATTCTTTCTGGTTGTTTTTTTTCAATTGGACTGTTCCTCCTGTATTATTATTATCACCATCCACTAATTTCTATTCATTTTTGTTCTCTTTTAATTATACCCACCTTTTTTCTCTATCTCTTCGCAACCTTATTTTAATTGTGTGACGCATATATATTTTGGTGCTTCCCCATTGTATCAATGTTTATATGCTCAAATAGATGAGTTCGTGTATTGAGGCAAAATTTGCGTCCGGATGGAGAGAAACACATCCCAACCATCATCGTTGCCCAAGGAGATCAAAATACTGGATTTCTTTGGCGTCTACGCCAAACGAAACCATACCAGCCGGGTATTTTAAGTCAACAAGAGAATCTCATGGCAGGTTGGCTCCTGATTGGTCAAACTACGAGTGTTATCTCTGAAGAATTGTCCTCGATAAACGCCAGAAATTAGCCTAGTTTTCCCTTCCTTCACGTGCCCTAGTTAGGCGTTCTATGATTATTGTGGCTTGCATTAAAAACCGTGTTAATCAAATCGATTCCTCTGCAGCTATCACAAGAGGATTTTCGTCTTTTATTGTAGACCGAAACGATTAGTGATCAAAACAAATTTTTACGAAGAAAGTAGAAGGTTACAGCAGGATCGCCCCTGAGACGACATTCGTAAAACATGTCCAAGCCACCGAAGTCGGTGTTTCAAGATGGTGACACCAATTGCATTATCATCTCTGCAACCGAACACACGATGCCGAACCTCTGCATTGCTAACATGGTGTTGCCATGAATGTCAGCAATACTTCGAAGACAGCGATGATCGAACACAGAGAGTCGTCTAACGTCCTCAACTCGGAGAGACCAGGTTTCACAAGCATAGAGCAAAACTGCTCTCACCGACGCGTTGTAGATCCGACCTTTTAAGGCCAGACTAACATCACGCAGGCGCCAAAGATGGCCCAGATTGGCATAAGCCGCTCTGGCTTTCACTATTCGTGCATTGATCTCATCACTCACACACCCACCACCACTTATGCAGCTACCCAGATACACGAACTTCTCGACTACTTCTATCTGCTCACCATGCAGGGTGAGTACAGGATTAGAATCCTGCCAGTCTTGTAGAAGTACTTTGTACTTCGAAGGTGAAAAGCACATACCACAACTACGGACACTGATTGTCAACTGATTAAGAGCGGATTGCATGCCTTGGGCATTGTCACACAGTTATTTATTTCAACACATAGATAATGGTACAAAGAGGCACCAAATACATATGCGCCACACAAATCTCATTCGATGTGTGAGGGCTGTGATACTGCCCGGGTGCCCAGACCGAAGCAGGATTATCACACAGTAAGACAATATCGTCCGCATACTCAAGGTCGAGAAGTCTTTCTCCAGGCAACAGATCCACACCACCATTACTTACATTCATCAGAGCTGTTTCCAGAATGTCATTGATGGCAAAGTTGAAGAGGAATGGTGAGATTGGGCAACCCTGCCTAACCCCACTGCTTGAATGGAACAAAGGAGAGAGGTGGTTGTATGCCCTCACTCTGCCTGAGATGTTTGTGTATAGGGCTTTTAGGATGTTAATAAATTTCTTAGACACACCCAGTCAGTCAGCTACAACGTAGGACCAGGCACATATATGCATCGGTCCAAGTTGCCATACCTTATTAACACAACAACATCAACACCAAATTCATAGAGGTAGTTACTTCAATGGTAGTAATATATAAAAGAAAGATTGTTTATAAGAATATAGCACAGGAAGAAAGAATTAGTTGGTAGAAAGATACGAAGCTATTTTAATCTCATAATTTAAGGGAAGACAGAGAGTGTATACACAGACGCCATTGTGATCGATTTGCAGCCATGTCACTCACAGTCTACAACCATTGGTTACGAAAGTCACGCGGACCCCAACCAAGTAGTCTGCATCTACCAACATGGCTCAGACTACAAATTAGTGACTTCAAGGACTGATGCCACGTTTTGCTTTGGCCACCCCTAACTTTCTTCCAACTATCTCCAACACCGGTTAGCATTGCACGTCGTGGTAATCGGTGTTCAGGCATACGTAACACGTGGCCCAACCATCTCAGTCGATGAAGATTCACAATCTCATCAACTGATTTACCATCATTCCCTAGTACCCTGCGTCTAACCTCACTATTACTTACCTGGTGAACCCAACAGACACCAGCAATATTTCAAAGGCATCTCCGGTCAAATACTAGTAGATTACGAGTATCTTCAACTCTTAATAGCCATGTTTCGCTGCCATAAATTAAAACAGAACGGATTACCGCGCAGTATACTCGTCACTCAATTGATAGACGGATATCTCGCCTTCGTCATAGGTGGTGACGTAAGTTGACAAAAGCCAAACGAGATTTCTGAATCAGTGCAGAGATTTTGTCAGACACCAACCCATTAGGGCTGATCAGACTTCCAAGATAAGTGAAGTTGTCAACGCGTTCGACTACTTCACTCCCTATCCTTAGTTCAGGTGTTAACGCAGGCCAGTCCTGAAGCAACAACTTGCATTTAGAAGGGGACAAACGCATCCCAAACACTCTGGCATTATTGCTCAGTGCTACCAAAAGACTGCATTTTATCAGCGTCTTCATCAAACAGGACTATGTCATCTGCGTATTCTAAGTCGAAATTCAGTCGACGACAACATTGTTTCCATCAATATGTCTATGATGAAGTTGGACAAAATTGGAGATAGTGGACAGCCTTGCCGGACATCACATGAGGTTACAAAATCAGATGTCATTTCGACATAAGCTCTGACTCGACTGGTGGTGTTCGAGTAAATAGCCTTCACAAGGTTCATGTACTTCTGAGGTACACCTTTAAATGACCTCAGAAGTACATAAATCTTGTGATGGCTAACCTAAAATCACAACTAATTCCGGACAAGTAGACAATTTTTTAATCTTGTTATGAAATAATGGACAGGTGGAGTGATGGGTTAGTAGTTAAGACACTAATCCTTCAACAAGTCTGAACTACGAACCTAGCTCCACTTACCACAGTTTGAGACAACGGATGGTACTCTTAACCAACAAAAACTGACTTGAAGTTGAATAAACAAACATGTACTAGGCAATGAAATTATATGAAAACGATAAACAATAGGATAATGGTTCTATTAACTTACTTCACCTAAGTCAGTGTGACAGGTCGTACTATTGTGTCCATTATTAGGAATCGCACATACATATACTTCAGGACAGGTGGGTTCTGATGAGAAATAGAGGTGATGTGTTGCGAAAATAAGGATGGATCTGTCGTTCCAAATAGAAAGATCAGGTAGGAAGTTTAGGTTCGTGTAATCTATTATTGAAACATTTGTGGAATTATTATACGGGAGTAGCTCATAAGGAAATTGAAGATCAATAGGTGAATTTATACTGAGGATACTGTCAGTAGTATCTAAAACATGATGCATGGGCGTCAAGAAATTGTAGATACATGAAAGATGTGATATCGTAGGAGAAATAATGATTTCCAGTGATAAGTGCCTTTCCGATGTTGATGGACAAGAATTACGTACGACGAGTGTATCTACAAAGTAAAAACCCAAATATACTGAGTGCAGAAAAGTACACCGAGATCAAATCGTTTTGAGAATATTGGTAATGAGCGTCCATATCCCAATTTAAAGTCAGAAATATAGCACAAACCAGTTAGCCAGAGTATAACAAAAAAAGATGGAAATAAAATCACTGTCTACCGGACCACCTAAACGGCACTCGAATACTGTTTCTGCATCTAACTTCCTATTGAGACAGAAGACGACCAAAAATGTGTAGCGGTCAATAAATCCCTAAAATAAATGGTTGTGTAGGTCTTCGACATTTGATGCTGACCTGATTGGTTTTGATGAACACATCTAGCTAAGGCTGTTCAGTTACGTATCCGCACCAGATCACGAGTGGGTACGCCGTGCTACTCACCCCTTACAACCGTAAACCAGCTTATACTAAATGCTTCCCGATATGTTGATTGCCTTCCAAATATATCTTCGAACCTCTTCGTCTTCTGACTTCTGATTCGACTAGGCTGGCATACTTCGATTATAAAGGTATTACGTGTAAAGGTGTTGTCAAACTCCGAAGAGGTGACATCTTTAGTAGTGAGGTCGACGTGGTCTGCTACACCAGTTCTTAAACTGAGTGTGTTCCTTATTGGAACATTATGTCACTTTTTGATACTTTTCGCTTATTGGTATATTATATCTTCATCATGATGGAACAAACACTTAAGTTACTTAAGATCAAACCTCTTTTGTCTCCCACCATCCAGTTAACACTATTCTGGCTCGATAATATAGAAGCCTGGTTCCAGTACGTAGAAGTTGACTTACACGAGCACGGCGTGACACACCCACTCGCACAATTCGCAGTAGTGAAAGCACTACCAATCGATTTAACAGGTACGTCAGACAGTATGTTTGCCTTGCGAACCTTTAAAAAAGGTCTTAGCTAGATGTATTCATCAAAGCTAATCAGGTCGGCATCAAATGTCGAAGACTTACAGAACTATTTACTTTGGGGATTTAATGATCGATGCAAAAAAACAAGAGTCACGAGACAGTATGGTTTCGGGGACTAGTACATTGCAAACTAGCTGTAAAACCCCCAAGTGTTTTACAAGACAATTTAAACACCAAGCAATAAAGTTCACATGGGAGTCGTAGAGTACAGAAACAAATCATCATACGCTGAGCCCTCTTGGAACTATAAAATACCACACCATTGCATTCAAACTTCCAATTTAGCTCTGCACCACAAACAAATGTGGAGCTAATTACTTGAAGACTATTTTTTAAAGGTTAGTGTACAAAAAACTCCAAACACAGTTAAAGCAACGAACTGTGTACGACAAAACAAGTTGAATATATGAAACAGTGTTCAACATAGGAAGGATTTGATGTCGATCACCGCCTTTCCTTCAACTTTTCAGTTTGGTGTCAACACATATTTCTATCAGTAAAATATTTGACATGGATAATACTAGTAGGAAGGACCGTCTAAACACGACCCTCTCATAAGTATAAGATGTAAATAAGGTACATGAGACAAGTTCTTCTTTATTACAGAAAATACATGACTATATATATTCAAGCGGACGACATAAGAGCTCAGTCGTATAAAGCACGAGGCCAAATGCACATAAAGCAAGGTTTAACAGCATGAGTTTGTTGATGGAAATTGAATGAAAAAATACAGTTCACAAGAGACCAGATATAGAGAATACAACTAACCTGAGAAATCTTTAGAAGTCTTTTCAACATACGAATCTTTGAAAAGAAGCGCGAATATAATTATTCCAGAACATATAAACAGAGCCATTTCTGATCCATCTGTATCAAAATTTTCAATATAGCGTCGGCGCCGATTTCTCCTAGGGGCTTGCTCTCGTAGGTAATAAACCCGTCTTTGTGAGTAAGATACCATAAACTTTGTTCTTTTCAGCAGACAAGCAAGCGACTACTGCATTGCGAAGAAACCAACAACTCTTAACTCTTCACATTTGCCAAGTACATCGAACTGTAGTTTAAAAAAGCCGCTGACTCATTCTTAGCGTTAAACTGAATCAGTGGATCAGCATACCGTAATCGACAGTAATGATAATGGTCGATTGATTATATTTTTTGTTTCTCGATGTTTCGTTCTTCATTTTAGATCCAGTTTTGTCATGAAATTGTTTGCCTGTGCACGATATGCATGGCGCGCTATTTAAAAATGTCGGTGTCTTAGATATTATTGTGCCCTAAGGTGTAAAGTATGAATTTTTACCTATTTAAACTAAACTTTCAGTTAAAGTAACAGAGAAGTCTCAGTTTTTTGTATTCAATGTTTGTCACGTCCATAGCTTCGAAAGCACATTCCAGAGGTCAGGTTTGCTGGGATGAAGACTTTAGGAAAACTACCTCAAAGTTTATCAGAACAGGTCTTGCAGAGAGATCAATCATTCTTCTTCATCGGTGAGTCTTCTAAAAGGGGGCAGAAGGCTAGTTTTTAATGCAATCCAATCCACATTATCAGTTTCAGTTTGGAAAGGACAGGAGGCTTGGTGGCCTGTGTTAGTCCTGGCAATGGTGGTCTCCCAGTTGATCCAAATTTCTTCTGAAAAAGTCGACAAATAGGGTTCTCATTGAGAGTTCAGATAATGAGTTCCACTCGTCGATGATTCGATGGGAAAGTTGATAGTCAGCTGACAAGTAATTTGTTTTGGGCTTGTAAACGTTGTTGGAGCGTCCTCGTAAATTCTCTATTTTGGAAGACAAGAAAAATGAGAGCATATCAGGTGCAAATTGATCACTAAGCAATTTGAAGACTAATCAAGTCACTTCTAGTTCTTCTATATGACAACGGGAATAAGTTTAGCTTGGCCAGTCGAGCATCATACGGAAGCTTCGCTATTCCGAGAATCAGCTTAGTTGCTGTTCTCTGAACCTTTTCCAGAATCTCACTGTTTTTTTTCAAGCAGAGGCTAGCCGCCTGTATGCAGTACTCAAATTTAGGACGTACGAACACTGTATGCAAGGTCAAAAACGTTTTAGCGTCAACATGTCTAAAGATCACACGTATTGACCATAAGGTTCTAAAACCTTTGGCGGCTATTGCACGGCAGTTTGTAGTAGACTTTAAGTCTTGACTAACGATGACTCCTAAGCCATTGTGCATCTGGACAACAGGTAGCTCAGTGTTATTCATCGTGTATGTATCTGTGTGGTGCGTGCTACTTATATTGATATAAGTAGTATATAACGTGCGTTAAAAGAACGTAATGTCTGGCAGCAGAAGATGGCGAAGATCAAGAAAGGTAGAGCGAGAACACAATTTAATTTGTAGGAAAACGCATGAACAGTGGAATGGGAGACAATGGATTGGTGTTTGCAACAGGAACAGTCCAGTTAGATTTGATGCATGAATATTTTGCAAATTGACGATTTCCTATATGGTATTCAGATTTTGTTGAGATAGACTGTAATTGTTGTGCTAAATAAATTCGATTGTCCCCACCCGTGTTCTTGTTCACTACATCTGTAACTTGATTACCGATATGTATCACAACACACGTGGAAGTATCTATCGGCAACTGTCAGGTTTGAGACCATTCAGATAATTTCTCCAGGTCATTTTGGAGTCCTAAGCTCCCACTCTTACTTCGTATCACTCTCAAAATCTTTGTCTAAAGCTTTGCTGAAGTCAATGTACGCTATGTCTACAGGTAGCTTATGGTCCTCAAAAGCGCACCAACTTTCACAATCCACTAATAAGTTAGTGGGACAGGAATAACATATTCTAAAACCACCTCTTAAAAATCACTTTTCCTTAAGCTGAGGAAATAAACCTATTACTAAAAGATACACGCTAAATGACTGGATTTGGAATATATGTCCATGAGAACCTCAGTTCATTTGATCGTAGTAAGGGACAGTGCACAGAAATAAAAATAAATGAGCGTAACCGAAACAATGGAAAAACCTTATATTAAGGATTTTCATGTCGTAAACGTTCGTGGCGAAACGATCTCAAACAACTATGAGTAGTATAGGAAAGTATTTCACAAAATAAAATTATGCTATACAAATGTTGGCAGCCTACTAAGTTGGATAGTGGGGATAAAAGTTTATTGACGCAGAAGACCCTAGTGTTTCTCCACCTCAGAAACATAGTAACATCAGAAGTGTATGATCGCGAAATTTAATTACTTGTGTTGCGAGAGAACTGAAGACATTTGTCCAATTAAAACCTTTCGTATTGTATATTAACTATTTTGCTGTGTTTTTGGATGTATTTGTTTTACTTAACCTTCGAACTTTCGCTAGCAGCTACAACACAGTTTACGTCAATACAGTCATGAAAAATTCATGCAAACGATCTGGATGCCGTTCTGCTGTTACATCTGGCATGCATTGCGACAACTGCAAAGGTTGGTCCCATGAGGCGTGAACAGACCTCACAGCAACTGCTTACAACAGACTCAGCAAGTCGGATCATAAGTGGGAATGTGTTACGTGCGGCACGGATGCTGCAGTCTTGCTGAGTAATATCATTGTCCTACTGACAGGTCTGCAGAACAAGTTGTCAGCAAACTTGGGAAAAGACAGTCAAAAAATGGGTAGACAAACAAGAAAGCCCATTGAAAACGAGAACAGGGGTGTCCAAAGGTCTACCAACGACGGAGCATTAATGATGACACTCTGAAACTCAGCATCATGATTATGTCGATGGTACTCGACTCCCTCAGCAAACTCGGGTCTCACAGCTCAAGGTCCTTGAACGCGACAGTGGTTCCCAAAAAACTCTGTAGGTGATTGGACCCATGTCAAAACAGCTAAAAAGGACCAGGCGTCACAGTCTAAGTTGAACATCCCAACTGTTGAACGGAAGTCAACTGGTGATCTGGTCGCACAGTCTACCCCTAAGATTGTCCGTCCGGCCATCAAAGAGCCAAGGATTCATAAACGTGCTTCGACCTCCAAACAACAAGGTGCTAAATCTAAACGCACCGGAAAACCTGGAACGACAATAACAGTTTGTGATGACTCTCTCATAGTCATGAACTTCAAAGACAACCCTGACCTTCCTCTCAGTTTGCAGGACAAAAACGATAGGATGCTCTGGGGAGAATTGAACAAGAAACTTGGACTTCCAAGAATAGAGCCTTTGACAGTCACACGGCTCACTTGGAGAAAGAAATCTAAGCATCAAAATCACCCGAGGCTACTTCGTGTAACACTTAAGAATGCTACCGACGTAGAGGATGTCTTACTAGCGAGTCATTTGCTGAAATCAGATGGGAATGTAAGAATACTGTCGGACATACCGTAGTCTGAGCGCAACCTCATCCGGAACATCCCCAAAGAAACTCTAGATCAGTTTTTCCGCGGGAGGAATATAATCGTGCAAGGCATATCGGAAAATACGGACCCTACTCAATCAAAGACTGACATCAAGGAATGGAAATCCATCAAACAGTCTTTGAGGCTCAAAAACATACTGACTCAGCATGTGACGAGACTATCCAAGAAGGATGGTGATTCTAGACCCCGTCTAATGAAGATACCCTTCCCATCTTCCCATATGGCATCTACAACTCTGTAAGCATTTCGCGCCAACAGACGTCGACTGCCACATGGAATCCACATGCAACCGGATAGGCCATACGAAGCTAGGACCAGATACAAAGGCAAGTTGGAGCTGATCATTCCACTGGTGGACTGTCTAGACGATAAAAAAACGTGTAAAAGACAGAGCCTACCACCTCGGCTAACCTCATATAGGTGGGCTACCTGTCCATTCACGTAAGACTCATACAGATAAACAGGAAGAAGCTCACGCATTTCAAATTGAAAACATAAACTGCTTATATATGAACGCCGCGAGTCTACCAAATAAATTGGATGAAGTACGTGAACTTAGCAATGCTAATAAGGCCCATCTGATAAGAGTATCTGAAACCTGGATATCTTCTCAGTTCCCGGACCAAGAGTTAGCATTACCTGGGATGACTTTGTTCCGCAATGACAGAATAACAGGAATTGGGGGCGGAGTAGCCATATACATAAGCTCTTGCTTGGAGGTGCACCACGTTCAAAACCTCGAGTTTAACAATCTTGAGGAATCCATATGGTGCTCTGTAAGATTGTCCAGTACTTCGAGGTGTCGAGTCGGAGTACGATAGTCGTATGCTGGAAGGACTATCCCGCTCTAATCGTCTCGGTTTCACACACATCCTGATTCTAGGGGACTTTAATCTCCCTAGAGTCAACTTCGTGGAACACACGTATACTGGAGGCGACAACTCAATTGAAGCTCGGTTCTTCAACCTCATCGATGACTTGGGATTGTACGAAAATGTGAGGCCGGCAACTCGTTGGAGAAACAGTCAGACACCATCGCAGTTAGACTGTGTATTCACAAACAAAGAATTTCTAGTTGACAAACTCTCAATCCTGGCTCCCCTGGGAAAAAGCGATCATACCGTCATAGCCTTCAGTTTTGTCAGCAAAACTAAGCTAAGATACCTCACCAATAACTTGCGTTGGAATTTTAAACGGTTAAATGTGCCAGCTCTACACGACTATCTACAACAGGTGGTTTGGGATTTTCACCCCCAACTCGATGTGGACGGGCATTGGGACTTCATACTGCACACTCTCTTAAGCGCTACAAACCATTCAGTTCCTTAAACGGTTCCCAAAAGCTGCAAGCCACCTACAATAATCAAGAACCGTACCCTTCGCCTGCTAAGCCGCAAAAGGCACTGTTGGGCGGAATACAAACGAACTGACAACGACGGAGCGTACAGGCAATATAAACATATCAGGAACATATTCACGAAGGCTATAAGAGAAGATAGACTTCAGTACCAGACAAAGCTTATGGACAAATTTGCCCCTAATCCTAGAAGCTTATTCCGCTATGCAGCCTCTCTTCGTCAA